CAATGTCTCATTAGATATTTAAGTTGCCAGTGCTTTGATGTTGGATTTTCTAGGCTTCACAACTGTGAGAAATAATTACTTCATAAAGTCTACAACCCTGTGGTATTTTGGTTTGGTCTGCTGCAATGCACGAAGACAAGGTTTATAAATACATTTCGGTGAAGTGTATAGCATAGCAACAGCCATGGTAGGATCTAGATAGCAAAAAAATACATGTTTCCATTTGCTGGTGCAACTTGATAGATGCACATGTCCTGGTTCATGTGAATACCTATTTCCTCTCCCTCACAAAATCACATAATCACTGCCATGGGTAACCAATGGAAGTATATGCAATGGATTGTTGTTTACATTAGTATCAATACATTTCATTGGGGCCTATGGCAATAAATGTTTATGCGGAATTCAAAACTAAAGAAACCTGCAAAAGAAAGGCTGGTTCCCAGAGACCCAAAGGCATCTTTATGCATTTTCAATACATCTTCTGACAAATCTAGGAAACAGAAAAAAGAACAAAATGTCTCTAAATATTTAAGTATTAAGCTTTTTAATTAATATGTTTGAAATACGTGTTCCCATTCACCTTAGGGAGTATGATATGTATTTAACATTTTGATTCTTATGGTTTCTCTTCTTCTCCTTACCCATCACCCTCCCTCTGGCTCCAGATCCCCTTTCCCAATTGCATCATCATATTACCAATATTATTGTCATTATTTAGTTCATGTTTGTGAACTGCAGAGATTGTATTCATTGTGGGTAGTTGGTATATAACATCAAATATTTTTACACCCCCTTCTTCCCTTCCTTGGCCTCCTGATCCCCTCCCATCTGCCAAAAAGCTCTCTGTGTCTGTATACATCCATTAACAGATGAATGAAGAAAATACGGTATCTATACATAATGGTATACTACTTGGCTACAAAGAAGGACAAATTCAAGACATTTGTAGGAAAATGGATGCACCTTGAGTACATGTTAATTGTCAAGCTTGTTAAATCAGACAAACAAGATTAAGTGCTTTTAAAATGTAGAAAGTTTCTTGAATACATATATAACAACTTTCTGTCAAAATGGGATGAAATGAATGTGTGATAATGTCAACTGTTTCCAAATTATATCCTCCAAGCATAAATTTCACTTAAATACTGAAAACTTTCAGTTTAACAAAACCTTACAACCTTTGGGTCAACTAGTACTGAATATTTTCAGAAATAAATATGGTACAAAGTAAATTATATCTTTAAAAATTGAAGAAAGGAGAGATTCTGTAGACACATCATGAAACCACTCATGTTATTTTTGCTAAATTTAATTGTATTCTTTAAACAAAAAATACAATAATTTATTGAAAGTATATAGTGCAATTTGTTACTGTTTATATTGAGAAATTAGCACATTCTTTCTTGATAGTATTTGTATCACCTAACACAATTAACTTTTGGGCATATGGAGAAAACACTAAAAACTTTTATCAAATTTTAATTCTATGTGACACTGTGTCAATCACTTTAGTCACTAGGGGGTTTATGCCATTTGTACTCTACAACATGAACATTATGTTTCTCATTAACATCTCTCAACTTCCCCACACCCACACATGGCAACTATCACCAAATTTTCTGATTCTTTAATGTTGTCAATTTTCGACGCTAAAAACAAATATGATCAAGCTTTAATCTGTCTATGCCTGGCATATTCCACATAATGACCTCTAGGTTAAACTACATTATCACAAATGAAAGATTTTCTTTCTTTTAAAACTGAACAAAGTTTCATTGTATGAATAAGCTTCATTTTACCCATACAACTAAGATAATGGTTTGCATGAAACATGTCCCTTAAAGGCCATGTACTAAAGACTTGGATGCAAAGTGCTTTGTTATTCTGAATTTAACATTATTATGCACTTTCCAACCTCATCACTGCATTAATTCATAGACATATTGGAGGAAAACTATCTCAGCATGTGTGCTTTGAAACAGTGTATCTCATTTTTCACACACCTCTCTGTCTCTGTCGCTGATTCTTAGCTTTCTCATATTCAGGATTTATGCTAAATCTCATTTTGAGTTCCTGCATGTTTTCTGATGTTATAAAAATCATAAAAAGCTTTCAAACATTATTTACAAAGGCTTTCTCTTTTCATGTTTTTCAAAGTAAGTGGAAAAATGGAAGTATTTCCCAGATTTAGTGCACACATATGGCTTCCCTCTTATGTGAATTCATTCATGAATTCAAATGCACTGAGGAAAATAAAACAGTTCCAACATTGTTCACATACATTCAGATTCTCTGTTCTATGAAGTCTTTCAGGTATGTAATAATACCCGTGTACTGAAATTTTTTTATATTGCATACAAAGAAAGTGCTTCTCCACACTGTCCCTAGTTCAGTGCAAGTCACTTTATATATTCAAAGTTAATTTCCTCTCTTAATTTTTAAATATCTATGATGATAACTAGAGTAATGGAAAGGCTTTTCCATATTGATTACATACACAGTTTCTACACTGTGATTCCTTTTGTGCCTTTGACAATTCCTGTGTGTGCTGAAAGCTTTTCCACACTGCTTACATAGATAGGGCTTCTCCCCAGTGTGAGTCCTTTCATGTATTTGACAAGAAATCTGTCTGCAGAAAGCTTTCCCACACTGGTTACATATATAGGGTTTCTCCCCAGCATGAGTCCTTTCATGTTTTTGACATTCACTGTGTGTGCTGAAAGCTTTCCCACATTGCTTACAAATATAGGGTTTTTTCCCCCATGTGGGTCTTTTCATATATTTGATAAGAATCATGTGTGGTGAAAGCTTTCCCGCATTGCTTACATACATAGTTTTCCCCCCGTGGGAGTTCCTTCATGATTACCAAATGAAGTGTTATTATTTAAGGATTTCCAACTGTGATTATATATATAGGATTTTCTTCCAGTGTGAGCTCTTTCATGTTTCTGAATATCATGGTGAGAATTCAAACCTTTCCTCCATTGTATACAAGTATTCACCTTACTGTGATTTCTTTCCTGGATTTGAACATAGTTGGGTGTAGTGAAGTGTCTCACATTTTGCTTATATATAAAAGATTGTTCTTCAGCATTACTTCCTTTAGTGCATGCACAGTAGCATTTTCCCCATTGCTCATATCCATAGGTTTTTTCTTCAGCATTGGTTTTTGCATGTTTTTGCAAAGACTGAAAGTCAGTTGATGTTTTTCTATGTCTGGTACACTTAGAGAGCTTCTGTTCAAATCTATTAAGTGCATATGATTTGAGTCCAGTGTTTTGTTGACAGAATCTATCTACCTCTGCACTACTGTCAAAGAAAAAATCCAACCAGTCACATTTAAAAGTGTCTTTATATTAATGGTTGACCAGGAAGAGTTTTGATTTTATATCTCCTAATGATATTTGATCACGAACTTACTGTACATTCTGGATGATGGCTTGGAAATAGCTTTTACCAAAATGGTATTCATTTGTGAGTTTGGAATTGATATGTTTGCAATACATAATGATAACTTTCATTTTGAACAATTGATGCATATGATACATATATTATTTTTCACACCTATATTCCCCATGACTCTACCCCTCTCCATTTTACTGAGCTTCTTCACCCTCTCCAAAATGTCTGCCTCTCTCTTTTTTATCATCTCTCCTTTATTTTACTTCTTAATTCATAGTTTGCATTTCTCATATAAAATATAACATGTCATGTTGAGCTTTCTGTGCTTATCTTATTCAATGTAATATGGATTCCAGATCCATACATTTTTTTTGGCAAATGACATCATTTCATTCTCCTTTATGGCTGCATACCATTCCTTCATATTTACACACCACATTATTTTCCATGCTGGAGACTGACCCCGGGGTTTTAGCACTGTGCTACATTCTCAGAGTTATTTATCTTTTATTTTGAAACTGAGCCTCATCAGTCATTGAGTGCCTAGCCTGAGCATGAATGTGCCTCAGCTTCCCAGAATGTTCCATCCTGTCCAGGCCATCCCATTTTCCATTTTTACTCATATGTGAATGGGCATCTAGGCTGTTTCCTGAGCTTCACATTTGTAAGTTTTACTGTGACAAACGTGGATATGCATGCATCCACTTGATATGATTACTTTAACTTTGTGGGGAATACACCCAGTAGAAGTATAGCTGGGTAAAATGGAAATTTCATTTTTACTTTTTTTGAGAAACCTCTATACACTTTTCCATAGATGTTATACTACAATGACATTCCCTCTAACATTATGAGAGGTGCCTTCTAATACTGTAGTCAGAACATAAATAGTCTAAATGCTTTTCAGGATTGTTTGAAAACAGCTATTATCAAAACAGGGGTATTCATTTGTACTTTGAATAGTTGCTCAAGGTTACCAACTTTGCAAGTACTGACTATACCACATTTAAAACATATAGCATTACTTACATAATTTGATAAGAAAGCAGTCTTTTAAGATATATGTTTATGTAATTATATTTCCTCTTCTTGGCTCTCAAAATTTGTGTATAAAATTTTATATACAACTTGAATCAATGCATACATAAAATTTCATGTAAGAGTTTTATAATCTTGAGCATGAAAAATAATGTATATTAGTATGGATTAGGTGTCACTTGTGGCATACGATCGATAGTCCCTACATTTCAAATATTGACATATTTCAAATATTCAATTGTCAAATTCTAGATACTAAACATGTATTCATCTCTGGAGAAATTTTGTGCGATTAAAGAAATTTGAACGTGGCCTCATTTTGTTTGTTTTCCTGAGTCTCCCTACATTGTTCAGGCCAGTCTCAAACTCACTATGTAGCACAGGCTGGCCTCAAACTCCTATCAATCCTCCCGCCTCAGTTGCCTAAGTGCTGGGATTACAGGTACATGTCACCATGTCTGGCTTTCTGTATTTTTTTGAACATGGTCTCATTTGTGTAGTTTGCTAGGTTTTAATATTTCTGACCTTTGAGGAATATTCTTGTTAGTGCCTATAACCTTAGAGTTTTCCTGAAGTTTTGGTACTCATCTTCAATTTGCTGCTGGTTTTCCCAGTTTCTTCCTAAAGTGTAGAAAAAGAAATGTAATGATGAGTTACTACATTACATAAAAATTATTATCTTCCAATTAGATTCATGGTACAATGTGACCACACCTGGAAGATTTATCAAAAACACTTCCATATTCCAATAAAGTAAATGGCACTGAAGGGCAATAACCAATGCTTCCTGATTGCATAAATCTATCTTCCTTACCTATAGCAGTCACATTTGTAACATTTTCCCACATCACATCTCTGTGGAGCTTCTTCTGGGATGGATCCAGCAAAGGCCACTCCTCCATGGTGAAGTCACAGCCACATCCTCAAAGGTCACTGCCTCCTAAATCAGCAGAAATATATTCCCAGGAAGAAGAGTGAGACTCACAACACAAAATATCGCAAATCTACTCAT